TGTTTAAATGCAAATAAACACTTATATCATTTCAACTACCAAGGTAGTAAATATTTTCTTTTATATGTTAAAACTCAATGTTGGCACAGATTCTATAGTCAACTGCTGAGGTGAACTTGTATAGTTTTCTAAAAACCAGTTTAGTACTACAGATTAAGAGTGTTTATGAAAGAATCCTAATTTTAGCAATTTATTCCATGAAAATGTTGAGTTTCATCAGTTGAAGGTGTTGGGTATTAGGTGTTATATACAACTGCAAGAAGTGAGAAGAGTTAATGCCCTTTAAATCATCAGAAGTATTTTTTTTTCAAAACTACTCAATGACCTCAGTAAATATCATTTAAAGAAAAAAAACTATGTGATGACAAGGAAAAATGCTCAAAAGTCATAAAAGCAGAATAAGTATGTGTGTGCGTGCGTGTATATATATATGTTTTATTTTTGCTCTGTAAACATGTGTTTCTACTTCGATGTCCCTATTATCTTGCACATACAGTGTATGTAGAGTTGAAAGTAAATACACAAGAAATTATAAGATTGGTGCTGTCTAGGTGGTAGGTAGGGTCCTTTTTCGGTCAGTTTTGTTTTCTAGATAATTTTTAGGTTTGCCCAAATTTTCTGCCATGTTAGGTTTACGATCATAAATGAAAGTATTCTATTGAAAAGGAAAGCAAAATCAATACTGTGTGAATCGGTGTGTATCTTTTAACAGGCTTGATATTAATGCATGGGCCATCCATGTTTGTGCAGCTAACAGGCAATTTCATTAAACGATCTTTAGATAATCGTTTAAAAAGTCAAATTCTGACCAAAAAATTTAGTCTTGTAAGGCGTGTCCATTGGTATATATTTACATATTGTGTCGTATAATCCAGTACCAAGCCGTTTACAAAGAGAAAATTAAAAACTGGTCAGTACGGTGAAAATAGGCGTTGTACTTTATAAAGGAGGCGGCCGTGGGCCTCGGTCCGGCAGGAAGGTTCTGGAACGGACTCCCTCTCCGCAGGGCGCGCCCGCTCACGCTGCGCAGCCCGATGAGCTGAGTGACCCTGCAACTCAATCCTTTCCTGCCCAGGACGTGAGAACGCGGATCCCCGGGAGCAACACGGGAAGCTCCGGAACGGGGCGCGGGCCCCAGGCCCGAGCGGGGCGCCCGGCTGGGCTCCGCGGGCTCCGCCCGGACGGCGGCATGCGGCCCCGCGAGCTGGACACAGGCTTTCCGGCGAGGCTCCGCGGCCCCGACGGCGGCGGGTGCGGAGTCAGGGACCCCGCGCTGGGGAGGGTGGCGCCGCGCATCTGCGTCCAGAACCGCACGGGAAGCCCGGGCTCCTGGTCCTGGCGCGGCGCGGCGTGACGTCACGGCGCGGCGTCAGCCCGCGTCATCACGTCCTGTCTGCACGCGGCCTTGGTCTCCCGGCGTGGCGAGGGTTCGGTGAGTCCGCGCCCTGAGGGGCCCGGGGCCGGGGCGAGGTCCCGGGGCCCCGCCCGGCCGAGGCTGCCGCGCGCCGCCCCGGGGTGAGGGGCCTGCGCCGGGCGGGCGGCCGGCCCTCGGGGGCGGCTGAGGGGCCGCTGCGCACGGGCCTGCCCGCTCGGCCCGGGAGGCCGGGAACGGGGCCGCTGCGCGGCGCAGGCCCCGTCGCTCCGCCTGGTGGTGGCTTCGGACCGCGGGGAGTGACACCGCGTGGTTGTGGCCGTGGAGTCGGTCAGGCAGGGCGAAGGGCGCGATGCCGTTGAGCGTGGGGCGCCGCGGGGGCTGCGGGCGCAGCGGCGGGCGGTGTGCGGCCCGGGCCCGGCCGCTGCCCGGTGCTTCCTAACGCTGCCCGACTGCGGAGGTACTTCGATGTGTGCTTGAAATGTAAGGTGATCCGAATTTCGATGACTCGGGCCTCAATACAAAACACACACAGAAAGTCTGAGGAAGAAATGTCGGACAGTTGAGTTGCCAGTGCTGTGCCCGGATTTACTAGAGAAGCGACCGAATATTCTGAAAGCATTTCTGAAAGATGGTGTAAGTGCTCTTTAAAAACGAAAAGGGCGAGAATGAAAACCACTGGACTTCTTCAGCGTGCGTGACTTCCGAACACGTGTCTCTTCACAATGAAAACGATTGACAGAGCTCTGAGACGCACCAAAAGATTAGTGTTTTCCCCCAATAATAAAAGACATAGAAAATGTTCCAAACAGCCCGTAAGCCAAAAATACTTTTTTCTGAAGACTGTTTTTCTCCCAGTTCAAGCATAAATTAACATAAAAAGTGGAACTTGAAGAAAATCGTGTTTGCTAAGGTGATAAATCTAAAAAGCCAACGTAAACATAAAAGATTAAAAGCTTATAGAATATAGTTGCTTACTTATAAAATGTATTAAACTATTAATTGTAAGACAGATTAAGTTATGGAACACTTCTGACAAGAAAGCTCAATGAAGTCTATAAATAGATTCATATACATACTTAATATATGTATACTAAGTCCTTGCAAATAGAAGTATTTCCAAGGATTTTACTCTTATGTACATCATCACGATTATTTACAACAATTATAGTGACATTTCTTTTGATGTACTATTTAGATGGAAATGTTTAGCCTGGAGAGGCATTAATAAAATTGTGATAATCCTCTAACTCAAGCAAGGTTTGTATTTTCGGTTCCAAACCCTAAATTCTTCAGATTTGTCACTAGTTGGTGTATATATGTGAACAGTTACCTTTGTGATTTGTGAGGTTTCTCAGTGGCTTCTGTTCCTGTACATAGCAAATCAAGTTTTTTGAAACAATTCTCTATTTTAATCATTTATTTGAAATTATCTGGGCTCCCCAGTGTTGGTAAAGTACTGTGTTCCACCTTGGCTCAGGAACCTCCAGGCCATCCGTCGCAGAAGATGTGACTTGGCTTCCTAAGAGAGGTCTGAGAAGCACCTGGGACCTCAGGGAAGGCCTGATGTCTTCTGTGGGGGGGCCAGGGGAGGGAAGGGTCAAGACAGAGCTTGGTAAGGAGCCAGTCATGAGCATAGGAGAAGGACATTCCCATTGGAAAGGATAGAGGAAGAAGTTGCTCATGTAGAAACAGTAATATTTATCTTTTACCTTACTGCCACCTTAAAACTAGTTTAAAAAAAAATTGTCATTACAAACCTAGCCAATAAGATGGACTAACTTGGAACAGATTTGGACTCAGTGGAGCAGAGAGTCTCAGCACAGCATCACTTTACTGAAAAAAAATCCCGGATGGAAGTTAGCTTCACACCACTACATACATTTATTTGCAAAATGACGGACTTTTTTTAGACTTGCAGAGAGGTCCTGCCTGTTCAGATACCTTGATTACACCCAGAAGGCTGCTCATTGTTTTTCTTTTTCTGTTCTGGGTGCACTGAGTCCTCTTTGTTTTCTCTGTGTACTTCGGGTGACATTTGCTTTGAGTTTTATGCTCTTGATGGTCTCCCACTGACACTGCAGTCTCTACTCTCCATGCCTTCCACACTCAGTGGCAGAATGCTGGAAGGTACTGAGTTCTGAGTGAGAAGCTAGAGCCCAAATCCCACATCTCACTCATGCACATCCAGCAACTCTGTGAGCCTTGACTTCCTGCTCTAAGCAGGGCCTATGTATAGCCTGCCTCACAGGGTTGTGTGGGAATTAAATGCCACGGTGTGTTTGAAGATTCTTCCTAAAATACAAGCTTCCAGGTGAATTGGTTGACCAAAGACCCAGGAGAGCTGATGGTTTGGTACCAGTCCAAAGGTGGGCAGGCTCAAGACACAAAAAGAGCTGTTGTTCATTTTGAATCAGAAGTCAGGAAAAAATCAGTACCTCAATATGAAGGCAGTCAGGTAGGAAGAATTCTCTCCCCACTTAGGAGCATTAGCTTTTTGTTCTGTTCAGGCCTTCAACTGATTAGATGAGCTTCACCCACACTGAAAGGCATTCTGCTTTATTCAGTCAACTTAAATGTTCATCTCATCCAAAACATGCCCTCACAGAAACAACCAGAATCATGTTCGACCAAATGTCCAGAACTCCGTAGCTCAGTCAAGTTGACATAAAGATAGCTATCACACCCATCTTACAGATAAATCAAGAGACCCTGAGTTAAGTAACTCAACCATGTCAGTTATAACCAAGTTGTAAGCAAGGATTTGAACCCAGATCTGCATGCTTCCAGCTACTCTTGTATGTCCAGGCTCAATAGGTAAGCCAAAAATGTTTGAATTAAAATAGTATTTTAATGTAAATAACAATAATGTCATTGTATATTTAAAACAATTTAAATTAATATACTATTTTGTTTTAGTCTCACAGTGGCTTCCCACTTTTTTTTCCAGAAATACCCAGAAAAGTAGAACTGCTTAAAATGTTTGATACAGAATCTAGAAAAATCAAGAAGCTTACTTAAGTATGAGACTATGGCTTTAGAAACCAGTATCATATGTTACCTGAAGGTTATAAGGGTCAGGAAAGACTGGCATTCATTCTTTAACATTGTATTTCCATCCCTTAGAAATGCTTTTCCTGTACCAGCTTCCATCAAGGCTGATTTGCTAAACTTTGCATAATTAACTGAACATGTGGATAAATGAATGAGCAGTTTTCATCATCTAAAATGTTTTATGAATGTACAAATGTAGAAAACACTGTTCACTACACATAAGTTGAGAGAGCGGTCTGCCTGAGTACTTTGGTGAGGTGATGGATGATGTTTTGTGGAATTTGCCATGGCTGCTGATGAATGGGTTTGGATGTAGAAGGTAAACTGCATCACTTACCATTTTTAGCTTCTGGTGCTGCTATTATAAGACAAATTGTACTGTTTGATAGCCCTGCATTAATTACTCACGAGTTCTTATCCTTCATTTGCTTGGCATCCTTAACCCCTTATAATGTGTCCCATCTTGCAGAGATTGGTGGTGGCAGTAATGAAACAAAATGCTATGAGGACAAAACACTATTTTATGATATCTCTTGAATCTTCCCTACTAATGGCTTTATTTTGTTTCTTCCAGTGAAAAAGGCAATTGAATTGAAGTCACGAGGAGTCAAGATGCTGCCCAGCAAGGACAGTAGCCACAAGAACTCTGTCTGTAAGTCCTCTTTCTTTCTGTATGAGGATTGATGCATCAGTTAGAGAGACCCAGACGGGAGAATGGAGAGGGCCTGGAGCCCGTCTTCCCCACTTCCTCTCTTTCTGTGTTTCTACCCCCAAAGTATTTCTGTGCACTGTCTTCCCAGTGTTGGGGGAGGGTGTGGTGCCGTCACACAGGCAATAGTCCTTTGGCCACACAGTGACCCTCCTCTGCCGCAGGAGGATGAAGAGGTGGCCCCTGACATCTAGGATGCAGGCTGCAGATGCAGGGTGTGTCCTAGACCTTTCAGGCTATGATAACAAAGCACCATAGGTGGGGTGACTAAGTTTATTTCTCATGGTTCTGAAGGCTGGGAAGTCCAAGGGTGAGGCTCCGATAGATGTAAGGTCTCTTAAAGACTTGCTTCTGGGTTCGCAGAGGTCTTCTCACTGTGTCCTCATATGGCAGGAAGAGAGACCATCTCTCCTGTCTCTTCTTCCACAGGCACTGAGCCTGCCCTGAGGCCCCGCCCTCATGACTAATCACCCTGCAAAGGCCCCATCTCCTGACACCATCACAGGGGGCTTAGGATTTCAATAAATAAATTTGGGGGTGACACAAACATTCAGTCTGCAGCAGGGCAGATTCCCCAAACTCCAACTCTGACTACACCTCAGGTCCTTCTACTTGCCCCTCCCAAAACAGTCTGTAAGTCAATACATTACAGTATTTGCTTGATAATCATGGGCAGTGCCATTTAAATTAAAATGAACTTAAAAAGGATGGAAACTGGATGAGGAAGAAAAAAACAGGGCAGAGGAAGAAAGGAAGGGTGTTTTAAAATAAAAGTTAAATGTGTATTGCTGTCCGCTTTTAATTCAGGATGTTTACAGGAGAAATCTTTATAATAATTTTGAATTGTATTGTTTATGGTTAAAAATCTTGCAGAAATGATCTGCAGAAACGTAGAACCACATCAGGGGAAGTTATATCAAATCCATATTATGTCCAATAGCTGATCAGTGAGACATTCAGACATCTGCTAGAGTAACATGTAGACAGAAGCTTTCTTTGTAAGGAGAATCTTTGGCCTTATCTAAACATGAATTGATAAATATGCTGTTACTCATTTGGTATTTGGAACCATGCTGTCCTTCCAACTGTATTAAGCCATTTTTTGTTGTTAAACATAAGAATTAATTGTTAGAGAAAATGAGGAATTGAAGAAACTGAAGGTTGGCAGTGTAATACACGGCAGTGTTACTTATGTGGAAGGCGTAGCCGGGGAAAGTAAATTAAGGGTTTTTTAGAGAAAAGGACATAGGCTTTAAAGCTAAAGAGACAAGGATTCAATAGCTGTAAAAATATTAATTTTATTCATGGCCAGGTTTCATCATTTATAAAATTAAGACAGTAATGATTGTTGAGTAGATAGAGGAAGGTATTTGTAAATTGCCTGTTCCAGTATGTGACATATAGTGGACATTCTGCAAACCCAACCAGTAAGAACTTTCCACATGTAAATAGAAATAAGTAAAGAAGGCAAGTAGTGGGTCACCTGGGAGGCTAACCGGCAATGGACCTCACTCCCCAGAGGAGTCAGGATCCAGACCACTGCGCTTGTGTTCTAAAATCTTAGAGAATTGGCTGATCACAGGAGGTGAGCCCCCAAGGCAGGCCCCACAGCCCCACGCAGGGCATGTCCTTCACCTAGGAAGCGATTTTCTCTTGAACTCCTCATTAATCCCTTTCCAGCTGCATGAGACGAGAGAATTCACGAACGCGATTCATGTTGTCTGTGCATGTAGAGGCACTCGGGCAGATTTCAGTTGCCGACGTTATTGAATCATTGACACAGAGATGATGTCGTCACTTAAAGGCAGCGTTCACAGTGAGTGCCGGCGCCTTTGGTGTTACAGCTGTGCCGTCCACGGGCATTTCTGCTTCGCCCCGAGAGCGGGGTTCTGGGGACACCCCAGCCTCTGATAGCGTAGGGGTTGGATCCAAGCACGCGGGTCTCGCTTGCACAATCTACACAGTTGTCTGGGACCTTGGCTCCTCCACCTGCAGGTTTTGGCGAAGTTGCAGTGAAGTGTCATGCGAAATGCCCAGCACAGGGTGTGACAGCCGCAGAGGCCGTCCTTGTACCTCGCCTTTGGTCGCCTCTGCTGTGCTGGCTTTCTTTCTGTAGCGACGTTGCTTTGTTGACGGCTCTTTCTTCCTCGTGAGACTCCTCACAGTAGGACATGTGATGCCAGCGACCCAATTATCCTTCTTCTCCGTTACCTGAGGCCGCGCTCGCTGCCAGGCGCTCCTGCCGTGCTTCCTCAGGTGAGACCTGACACGGCGGACTCCGCCGCAGGCCCTCCGGTGGGTTTGCATTGGGTTCTGCCAGTAGGAAGCCCCAGTGACGACTGGAGGGGAGCAGGAACACGAGGCCTGGGCATTTGTGCCCCCGTTGCCTCCTGCAGCCCCGTAGCTGGCTGTGCAGAGGCCGGAGGTCGCGGCTCATCTCACAGGGGTGACCTTCTCACGGGGAGACTCTGCAGGACCCTTTTCCTCTCGCGGGTGCTCAGTGCTGGTGTTCTCCCTCGTTCCTCCAGCCTAGGGGGTGATAATATCTCAGCTGCTGGGAAGGCCCACGTCCCCTCACTGTTTCTGGTGGCGTCTGTAGGTTTGCTCTGATATGAACAGTGCTGTTCAGTAAGGAAATCTGCCTCACACTGTTGTCCTCTGGAGTGGCATCTGTGCCCTGTTGGGACCCGTTCAAGATGAGGAAAGTGCTCAGGATTTTGTCAAACCACAGAGGGCACACTCCACCCAAAGGCCCAGATGTTTAAAGCAAACAGAGCAGATGGAACAAGGAATCATGCTATGTGGCTGCTCGCGACTGTCCTCTGAGCATTGCGCAGGACCTCAGCAAGTGCCGGGTCCTGGCTGGGGCGATGGCGGGTCAGTGGGACACTGCCGCCGATGGAGTGGGTGGGTCATTGCCATGCTGAAACGCGGTGGTGTGCACCCCGTGTCGTCAGAGGAGTAAGTGGGGCATCAGGAGGCGCACGTTGACGGCTACCAACATGGAGCAGCTGTGTGTGCAGTAACGCAGGCTCCCATTGCTTCAATTGGGACCATAAGCTGTATCTGGACATTTCACACAGTCCCAGGTTCCAGCCTCTTATATCAGCACATCTCCCTTCTGGGCAGCGCACATTTTCATCCCAGATATTCCCTGACTGTGCATTTTGTCCAAGATGATTTGCTGAGGGCTGAGTTTTCCTCCAGGAAGCCCTCCCGGACTGCAGCCTTGCACTGACTCACACCTGCGCTTCCTCAGCCTCTGATAGCCTGAGCTGGTGATCAGCGAGTGAGTATTTGCTGATCAATATGTAGAGGAAGGGGAAATGCAGGGCAGGCTCTGTATTGTGGGACAGAAGCCCTGCAGGCTCTCCTTTACTCCTCCTGTGGAGTCTGATGAAGCTTCTTTGAGTTTTTCTCTGGAATCACTAACTCAGTCTCTTTCCTCATCCGGCCATGATTCCTTGTTTCCAGTTAACTCCTAGTAATTCACTTTAGTCCTTCACTTGCATGAACTTCTCCATGTAGGTCAGAGGATGGTGGAAAGCTGTGAGATGGGTCAAGTCTCCACGATGAGGGTCCTTTTCTGAATTAACTCTTAGACTGAAATGATTTAAGGTTTGTTTTTCATCAGTGTCATTCATTACTGATTAATAGTCTTTTCAGAAAAACCCAAAAATATTTAAGGTATTAATCCTATATAATACTATAAATTTCTAATTATTTTAAGTCTTGAAAAGATTGCACCATAAACAGGCAACATTATACAGCACAAAGGGCATCTGAATAAACTTGGTGAACACCCACCCTGCCTTCCTCACACACTCTGAATGATGTGGAAGCATCTTCATTCTGAGATCAGACCCTGCCAGTACCGAGGGACTGTTAAATTGCCACAGTCTATTTTTAAATGATGGGAACAATAGATGTACCTCAGTCGCCCTCTTCCTGGTATTCTTCTTGGCTGAATACTGTTTTAGCATCCCCACGTGTGGAAGTCACAGGGCTAGATAATCTGTTAGTGTCCCTCCAACTCCAAAGTACGGAACTGTAGGGAGGACAGCAAGAAAGCCTTGGTGGTCGCTCTTCAGCTAGAGATCGCTTTCCCGTGCAAAGGCAAAGACACACAACTTTACGAATTCAGTATTGATTGGCTGTGACTCATTCGGATGCATTGACGGCACCTGCTGTGTGTTGGGCATTTGCAGTTGCAGCAGCTTCCCCCAAACAGGACAGGAGGACATTTGGTTCCAAATCATTATTTAATAGAAAGCAAATAAAAAATTGTGGAAAAATTGAGCAGTATAATGCACTGTCTTAAAGTCTTCTGAGAAAAAAACGACAATACAACATTATGAAGTAAATGACCCTAGAATTCTGCTTTCGACTATAAACCATTTATTTCATTGCCTTTGTTTCTATAGATCAATTTTTTTCTGTACCTTGAAAAAAAAATACCTGAAGCAAAACAGAATGATATTCATTCCGAGTTGTCAAATAGACCATCCTGTTAATGTAAAGCAATTGATTGAATATTATATTTCATAATGACATTTAGTAGTTCCATTTTTCTCTGACTTTTCTTTTGTCTCAGACATTATTATTTGAAAGGGTGAATTTTTAAATATTTGTGGCTCCATTTCTAGAACAGCACTGCAAAATGATGTCTTAACTACTTTATACAGTTAAAGATGAAATCATAACTAGTATGCCTGTGTTATCTTTTTAACATGGTGTGATTGGGAAATCCATTTTCTAAAATACATTATAAAATATTTTCCTCTCTGCCCTGGGTCATGCCATGTTTACCCACTTAGCACTGTAAATGCTGTGTTCATACTCCTAATTTTCTTAAGTCTGGAATAATTTAAGAACAAATGGAATATGCTACTGTGGAATATTCTCTTTATTTATATTCCAATGTACTAAAAGGAAAAAAGGGG